AAGCCCCCTTTTCCTCTCCCCCCCCCCACTGGGGACCAAGTTCAGCCCTCCCCCCCCCCTCCTGCCCTTGCCCTCAGCTTTCCCGAAGGGGAGGGGTCTGCCAGGAGAAAGTTCCCTCCCTGCAGAGCAAGGCTGGCTAATGCAGCAGCCGCAGCAGCAGGGAGCTAAATAAATAAGCAGAAAGCATGGATTGTTTTGAGGGGAGGGAGGGGGGGAGGCGTTGGGCTGAGTTTTCTCTAGGCTAATTAAAGCTGTTCTGCAAGGGGGGGGGCAGAGAAGAGAACGTGCTTGTTCTCCTCCCCTCTCTTTGTCCTTTTTCTCCTCTGGACTCCCGGCTGCTCTCTGGCCCAGCACAGCTAATTAGCCAGCGTCCTTCATCCGGGCATGAGGGAGCCGGCATATTCTGATTTCCCTCCCCGGGTCTCCCCCCTCCTCCATCCCCGGCCTTCACCTCTTCGCCTCAGGGTGATGCTATGGGCCGCTTTCTCCTCCGCCTTAGAATAGAATAGAGTATCAAGAGTCGGAAGGGGCCTTGGAGGTCATCTAGTCCAACCCCCCTGCTCAGGCAGGAAACCCTACACCACTTCAGACAAATGGCTATCCAGCATCTTCTTCAAGACTTCCAGTGTTTGCAGCATTCACAACTCCTGGAGGCAAGTTGTTCCAACTCAAGTTTCCCAAGTACGTTGGGACAAGTCTCCATTAGCCAACCTGCTGTGGGACAATTCAGCCATTCCGTTTATAATTATTTAAAATAATCTCTTAAAAATTATTTTAAATCTTTTTTTTTTTCATTCGCATTTCATTTGGCCCCTCCTTTGTTTAACAATTTATTCCACTGTTCCTTCCATATTATGCAACCCCGCGGCGCATTGGCTTGGGGTGAGTTGCCAGAGACCCTCCTGGAGGACACTTCGTAGCAAGGTCTTTATTTGATTTGATTTGATTGATTTTATTTTATTTCATTTATATGCCGCCCTTTTCCCCAAGGGGGACTCAGGGCGGCACACAATTCAAATCAGGGAAGGGGGTACAGACAGAAAATAAAAAGATGAAACATAACAATACATGGTTTAAAACACACAGCAGTCATACCATTCGAGACGGGGGGCAACGGCTCTTTAGCCCCAGGCCTGTCGGAACAGCC